TAATTGTGTAATATTATTATGTTAATTATATAGACTGAGGTTTTAATGGCAAGTTACACATTTGGTGGCATGTCATTTTGTTAGGAAGATGTGTCGGAACAAAAACCCATGTGAGCATTAGAGATCATATGAAATCAATAAAATATGCATAAAATGAAGTTTGGGTTAACATTAAAACACATTTACTGATTTTTTGGAAGACACATAAAAAAACACTGGCTGCAAGTCACGAAAAAGGAAATAGTTAGGAAACCTCTAAGCTTCCCATTTACACGTCAACCACAAAGTTCCTTAAATTTCTTTATTATTGCATCTTTTTGGCGTGACCAGTGTCATGTTTAGTCAGGAAAAGAGTTGATTCACTTCTGTTACAGGAATTGTCGTCATTTCAAACAAATCACAGTATTTTAACAATTTTAATAAAGGCTTAATAAAAAGCACAGAAGAAGGACATGTTTGACACAAGCTAAAGAAGAAAATCAAACTACATTTCATAAACAGATTGCTGTGGTTAAACCCCAGAGAGAGACAGTTTGTCAGTGGGGCCAACACCTTTTTCCTTTCAGGCGCAGAATGAGACTTTAACTGACTGTTCTCATTTACCATCATGCACCTGACACAACATGGACAGGAAGTGATGACTGACACACTGCACTGTTAACTACACAAGACTGGAAGCTGATCATATGAGTGAAGCAGGGTGTGTGTTATACCACATGACATTAATACAGGACATGCAAAAGTCTTAATCCATCATTTCTTTCTATTTAGCTTCTGAACAGCCAGACTTTTTTATAATCTTTAACAGTTTATCAATTTTTTTCGAAGATCCTTCAAAGTTTTTCTTTGAACTTCARCTGCTTTTTCACATACAGTATTCTCATCTAGTACCTGCCCATATTTACATGATTTTTGAGAGTTTTGTCTGTTAAACCACTTGATCCACATTTGATCTGTCAATCTTTCAGGCAAAGGGCTGTGTCGACACATCACAGTCAATTTYRCACAGAACCAATATTAAAATKAATYTTTGGGCACTTTGTTACCAGCACTTTGTCACAAAGACACAATCTGCTTCTGTGGTTAATATATACACCCCCCATTAAAAATAAAATAAAMAATAAAGACACAAAATAGTATTTYAGATTTAATGAGATGATTCCCCAAGAGCTGAAAACTTGATCAGCTGAAGGATGATGCATCTCTCTTGTCTTTGTTGGATTGTCTTTTATTTTCTAAAAACATAAAATTTCAGATGCTGTTCATCTTCTGTATAGCTGCAGTCTTTTTTTGCCTGATAAATCTTTGCCTTACTTGTTTAATTTCCTTGCATTCTTAAGCAAATTCTGCAAGATATGTCATAATTAGGAATGAGTACTGTACGGAAACTGAGCAAACTTCCAAGAAAAACTTTGAAAGATCTTCAGAAAACATGCAAAACTGTTGATCAAGACTGATTTAAAAGATGACAAGAAAGTTCGGCTCCTAATTAAGAGATTAATGAAATTTTGTTTAATCATATGTGTGACTATGTGTGTTTGTTTTTATGTAAGTTGCATCATTTATTCCGGTTTTCCTAGGACTGGCTGAGCAAATACGGCTACCTTCCTTCTCCTGACCCACGCAGCAGCAAACTGCAGACCAGGGAAGGGATCGAGAAAGCTATCCGTGTAATGCAGCGATTTGGAGGGGTCCCTGAAACTGGGCTGCTTGGTAACAACCTCAGCATTACAGTATAAGCCAACATATCATGTGTAGAGTCAGATGATGTCTGAACGTTCCCTCCAGTCGGTGCAGTTTCAACACATGGTTGTGATCAACTTGTCCTGCAGACGGAGAAACGATCAAACTCATGTCCACACCACGGTGCTCGCTCCCCGACGTTGTAGGAGGCGAGGACATAAGGAGGAGGAGGAGGAGGAAAAGATACGCACTGTCAGGCCTGAAGTGGACAAAGACAGACCTCACATGGAGGTGTGTTTCCTGTCACAGCAAGTTGTGGTTTTGACACTCGTGAATCACGAGCTTWTTTTTGATCATTCACTTTTTTTGGTCAAGGTTTCCTAAAACTTGTGAAAGTCAAACAAATTATAAGATCTATTAAAAAAAACATGTTTTGAGGATTAGCAGAAGTCTTACAGGGATCTCCGATTAGTTGTAATATTAGACTTTATTTAATAAACATATATTTTAACTGTAAAACAAAGACTGTAAAAATACTGTAGGATGTTTAGTTTGTATAATTTTTTAACTAAAAGTTAAAAAATATATTACACGGACGGGGCCATTTTATTTATATGCAAAGCATTCTGGGTAAATGATGATATGGATAGGTCCTCAGCGTTGCAAGGCTGCTAGTGAGCTATATCCACCCTGAAGGTTAATCTTGGACAATATCTGACGATTGACTCTTTTAAATGAAACCAGAGAGCGTTGACAGAGAGGGGAACACAAAAATGACTCAGCCTGCAACTGAAAATATGGATGGAGGACCTCAGTTTAGCTTGTTTGTCGCACTAGCACCGAGCTAATACATATAAGTCAATATAGCGTCAGTGCTAGCACAAAGGCTAACAGGCTAAGCTGAGGTTSTTCTTCCATGAAGCAGCTCTGTTGTCCTCCATCCATATTTTCAGTTVCAGGCTGAGTCATTTCTACCTTCTCCTCTCTGTCAACGCTCTCTGGTTTCATTTAAAAGAGTCAATCGTCAGATATTGTCCAAGATTAACCTTCAGGGTGGATATAGCTCACTAGCAGCCTCSCACCGATGACCTATCCAYGTCATCATTTACCCAGAATGCTTWGYRTGTAAATAAAATGGCTCCGTCCGTGTAAAAATACATTTTTAAAAATGTACAAAACTAAACAGCCTACAGTATTTTTGCAGTCTTTATTTTACAGTTAAAATATATGTTTATCAAATAAAGTCTAATGTTACAACTAATCGGGGATCCCTTTAAAAGAGTGGCTATGGGGCCTATWAAAGACTCAAACCTTCAGTTTCTTAAAACAAAACCTCTTTTCTTCTAGTGTCCACAGCTACCCCACGCCCTCCATTTCCCCCAAMCTCCCTAAAAACACAGTGGACAACCTCTTGCGTCATGCCTTCAAAGCCTGGAGTGATGTGGCCCCCTTAAATTTCCGCCAGTTGGCGGGCRACAGAAGAGGGGCCACAGTTGGAGGGGACATCAAAGTGTCATTTGCCAGCTTGCTTCATGACGATGGCTACCCATTTGACGGACAGGGCGGCACTCTGGCCCACGCCTTCTTCCCCGGTGACAGTGAAGTGTCTGGTGACACTCACTTTGATGATCATGAAATCTGGAGTTATGGAGGTATTTCTTACTCCAATTATCAGTGTTAGGTCACACACACAGAGGCCAGAAACATTTAAAGTGCATGTGTTTGTGGGATCCAGTAACATTTTAGCTTCACACCTCCACAGGTGACAGCAGCAGCACAGACTTGTTCACAGTGGCTGTGCATGAGTTCGGCCACGCTCTGGGCCTGTCTCATTCYTCCTCTGATCCCTCCATCATGAGGCCGTACTACCAAGGCTCTGTGGAAGATTTTTCCATCTTCAAGCTGGCCTTGGATGACAGGATGGCCATCCAACAGCTCTACGGTCAGAATGGTTTATTTATTAGCTACAAATAACATCTCAAGTGTATTAAGACTCGTGCTTCTCTGATAAGATCTCTTCAGCTCCAATTGCAGATGATATCCAAACTTATTGCAAAGTGTGAACTCAAACATTAAAAAGATTATTCTGCCGATTGGTGCAGTTTGAAAAAGTTTACTCTAGTAGTTTTCCAGATATATCAATATGCAATTCCAAAATATGGGTCGACGTTTAGCACACGGCTTAATCTGTCAAAAACCATGTGAACGCTTGAGTTAACTTTTTATTTTACCATTATTGAGATGAGATAGCAGATCTCTACTTCAAGGATGGCCTGAAGGCRACCTATTGTTTTATGGGGTGTGGGGGAAACCATAGAACCYGGAGAAAACCCACACAAGCACGAGGAGAACATGCAAACAAAGTAAGACCCCAGGTCAGAACCAGGTATTGAACCCAGGAACCTTTTTGCTGTGAGGCATTGGTGCTAACCACTGAGCCATCAWKYTGCCATACTTCAACAATTAGGCAGGTCAAGGTCTCTGTAGGTAAACAAATATGGTAAAACTGTGCTGGCACAAAATGAAGAAGACATGCAGATATAAGAGTGAATCTGCTGTTAAACACAAAGGAAAGGAGAAATAAAGAAATCCAGATCTGGCAGGGCCTGGGGATCAGGCAGGGCAGTGGGGAGCCATAAATACATAAAATGGCTCTCAACCTCACGCATCTTTAGCAAAATTTCTTCTAGAATTCAAATTTCKCATTTCCACCTAATCTGTCTTTTAGTTCACTCAACAAATCTGAACATGAATGTGTACCAGTACATCAAAAGTATTGAGATGTCCAGCTCATCCATATTACCACTGCTGTATTTTCAGTCACTTTCTGTAAGTGAACATGCTTATTTCAGTTGGCATCTGGTAAAAAATTTTACTTAATTAATTTTAATTTAAGAACATACGATTCTGATTATACTTTATGGTTGTTTTTAACTTACTTCATGACATTTACACTCCAAAAAGGAAGTAAAGTAGGATTAACTAAGTGTTAAATTTGTTTGTTAGGTTTTTTTTTTTTTTTTGATGACTCCCCTTCAGGAGTTGCCAGCGAGCAAATTCACAAGAAAGACTTGCCAATTATTTTTTGTCAGATGCCCTTCCTTATGCAACCTGGACAAAAATCTGCTATCAAAAAAATTATACTGACATTTAGTTTAGTGATTCTGAAGATACCCCTGAAAAATATTAGTTTTTCTTTTAGTAAGATTTAAACCTCATACAAAGAAATGATGACTGGTTAAATAAAACACAAAAYTGAGTAGGTTTCTGTCAGACTTGTGTCAAGTTTACTTTTCTTTAGTTACACAACATGGCAATTTGTCAAACTCTACTCAATATGTGATCACATTTCATCTTGTCATTGTCGACTGAGTAATAAAATACTTTTGAAAAGGCTTAGAAAACACGCATGAGAACAATTCTAAAAAGGACAGAGTGTAAAGAAGAACAAAACACAAGAAAGTAACTTTAAAACACATTACAGCACTGTCTCTGTGGACTGAGCACACTGAATTCTTTCCACATAAACTGCATCTGATAGAACTGGTCTGTGTTCACAATCATTTCWAATATTTCTATCAATGATTCCAACATTAGTTATGCTCAAAATATCATATAGACAATTTTCTTTGTCTTAAAGACTTTTATCRCCAGAGGAGACTGGAGGTAAATACAATATTGTGTGGAGAAACTAGAGAGTCTGCTGAGAGGTTAGCATGCCTGTAATTTAACAAGGAATTATATCCTACAATTTGTTGCAACATTTCCTTTCAGGTGGAAAGTCAAACTGACTAAGTTTTTAGCAGGCTTTACTTATTAGTGTGCATTGCCAATGCAATGTACACTATTGTGATCGTTTCCCATCCAAGTCATCTCCACTTTGGCATGCTTCTCCTCCTGCATACTTTTTCCTAGAGCTGCCATTGTAATTTGTATCTGTAAAGCTCATATGCCAAATGATGGCTTTGCCTTTTGGTGCCTGTACAACTTATAGTTTTTGAAATATTAATGTTTAATAATTTATAATGGKAGTCAATGGAGCCTTGTATTGGTCCAATACTGCCCCCTGCTGTATCTACTCAGTACTGAACCATAGTTTAATAATATTTAATCTCAATAGTTCAGCGTTTACAACACTRATATGATTGTATTTTGATGTTTTACTATAATATTGTCCTAATATTGCTCTATTGCTGTAATATATTGCAGTTCAGTGTCAACAATTGCATTGGCAATGTGGCCCCTTTCTGCACACATACAAACCAACCCTTAGCAGTACCCTCTGCCACAGTTCCAATGGTCTCATGGTTAACTCTATGGGCTTTCATGTGGGAGATCAGGGTTCAAAACCCAGCTACARSCACTTTAACAAAAAATCTCTACAGACTTCATATTGTTACACAATTACGTTCATTACAGACACCTGCTGACTTGACAAGCACAAGCTGTCAGAAAACACATTTGAACTTGGTCACATTTCATTCTTAAAGTCCAATGCTGCAGGCAAAGCCATGCTGCAATGACATGCTACGTGGCAATGCACACTTGTTTTTACATCGTAAAAACCCATGTCTAGTTAACTATTATATTCTTGTTTTAGCTATTGTTTGGCTTTCTAAAAATTCCAATTGAAACATCTTCTGCTTCCTAATCTTGTGCTTCTTGAGTGATAAATTATACAATAAGCCATCTCCCTCAACCAGCCGGCCGAGGCAGATGGCCGCCTGTCCTGAGCCTGGTTCTGCTGGAGGTTTCTTCCTGATTAGCAGGGAGTTTTTCCTCTCCACCGTTTGCTCAGGATGGGAGACTGTGATGAAGTGATTCAACACAGCCTGCTGGTTTCTTCTTTAGATTTTTCTTTTTATGTACAGTGCCCTGAGACAAAACGTGTATTGTGACTTAGAGCTATATAAATAAACTGAATTGAATTGAATTGAAATTATCAAAAGGCTAACCCCATCCTCTAACATATATATAAACTGTATAATGATCTARTGTGGGTAAAGTTGGACCTACACAAAAAGACTAATAATAGTGAGTCAAATCTTGTCAAAACCCCCCAGTTATTGAGAAGAATGTTATTTCCTCCAGCGGTTTTCTCATGCTCTCATCAGCTTTCCTTTCCTTTTTTAACGCTGTCTGTGTCACATATCTATTTCAGGTGTGAGAGATGACCGACAACCAGGTGTTGTTAAACCTAACCCAACACGCCTACCTCCTCCGCCTCCACCAAGACCAACAAAACTCCCAAGACCAACAAAGAAGTGGGTAGAACCAAAGGACACAGTCCAATAAGCCATTTAATGTTGATTAAATGAACAAGTATGTGAATGTCATTTAAGGCCATGCAGAAACAGCTTTCAGTGGACGTGTTTGGGTTTTTAGCACCCTCTAGTGGCTTTTTCATTGACACTACGATGAATAAAAGAGTACTTTTCTCTGCCCCAGTCCTGATCCTTCATTTCAAGACCGGTGTAAGGGAAGCTTTGACGCTGTAGCAAATATCAGGGGAGAAGTCTTCTTTTTTAAAGGTGAGAACAGAAAAATCATAGCAACAATTTTAAGAAAAAAACACATGAGCTTCAAAAGAACTATACTAATAAAACAAAATAGCCACCTTGATGAGTATTTTTGTTGATCTTTTTCATCAGATGAACTTTCTGACTCTATCTGAATCCAGTACATTTTTCTTCTCTTCGAAAGGTCAGCACTTCTGGAGAACTCAGCAAGATGGGCTTTTAGTGTCCACAGGTCCGGCACAAATCCAAAACTTTTGGATGGGACTTCCTCCAGRAACAAATAAGATTGATGCTGTTTATGAGAGGAGGAGTGACAGCAGAATTGTCTTCTTTATAGGTGGGAAACAAACACTGTGTGTGTAATTTTAGCATCACAGGGTGTGAACAAGGTTGTTTCTGCTCATAAATTTGATGTTATTTTTATGTGTTGTGGGCGTTTTGGTCAAAGATTAAATAAAGGTTCTGACGTTTTAGACAACTTATGCCATCTTCTGAAATGTTTTTTTCCAACTACATGACTAAAAAAAAAGTTAGATATTTGATCACTTTGTTAGCATTACAGCATGTACATGCCTAAAAGAAGATTCCAGTTGAATTTTTTTATTCCATCTTCATCGTTGATGTCTCCAAATTTTAATAAGTTTGCATAAGTTGTCTAAAATAGTGTGACAGGGCCTTAAGGAAAGGCCTTCACTAAAATACTAGGGAATTTATCATCAAACTGTTTTGACAAGAACACTAACAATCTACAAGTGTAATGAGAAAAACATTTCTTTTGTTCTCTAAATCAGCACTGACTTAAGTTGGCTGMTATCCTGACGTTGTGACATCTCAATGAAAGAAACTGATCTTGAATTTTTCAATTCGTAACACATGCACATCACATTCAGTTCAGACTTGCAATAAGGAAATAAAAAATCCAATTTCAAATGCCAAAGAGTTGAATTGGCTTGATAGTGTTTTTTTTTCTCCTCCTTCTCTCAGGTTCTCAGTATTGGGTTTTCAAAAACACAGAGGCCATGAGGGGGTACCCTCGGCCCCTCTCTGACTGGGGCATGCGGAGGAAAGATGGAACTTTGGTGAACCGGGTAGATGCAGCCTTTGTCTGGGCCCACAATGGCAAGACCTACCTGTTCAGTGGTGGGGAGTTCTGGAGGTTTGATGAGACTCAAAGGGGTGAGCAGGTGACTTGGCAGCCAGATCCGGACTACCCTCGGGACAACAGCATCTGGGGAGGAGCACCGATCCACATGGATGATGTCATAAGCTGGGGAGAAGGTAACGTCCCACTTAGATGCACAAATGTAAATTCAGTTTTTGTCTGGTAAGATCAACGAAAAGCACACGGGCAGTTCATTTTTGGGTGACAGCATTCTTTAGTCAACATGAAGACAATAAGAAAAAATTTCTGTAATGAAAATAAAAATTATCGTCTTACTTGTATTTGAATGGAACAAAAGTAATCTGACTTAAAGGAATTTGTATTCATTACTTCTAGTCATGCTAGGCAGTTATTTTTACTGTTTTGAAGAGTCTCTTTCTTAATATTCATTACAWATGAGTGCTTCTGGCAAAGTTTGTGCAGAGTGAGAAAGTTGGACATTGACAAAACAACATTTTCAGGATGAAGGGGTAACTGTAGACTTTGAGTTTTGAGAAACATTAAAGGGGCAATATCATGTAAAATCAACTTTTTTGAGTTTTATATCATGTTATAATTTTATACTCTCAGAAAAAACATGCTCAAAGCCTTGCTTTGACCCATTCATGCATGTTTGAGAAATCCTGCAGCGTTTTTAGGAAGCCATGCTGAGGAGCAAAACGACAGGTGGGGACCAGAAACGCCTTTTGGTACCAGGAATGCACCTGGGACGTGTCTTTAGGCCAAACTTCCTCATGGCAGAGCGCCCCCCCCTTCCCACACACCCCGCCCATGACTCCTGTAGGCTCTCGGATGAAAGTGAAAGTGAAACTTAAACTGTCTGCTGAGCTTTCAACAAAAATTCTCACCCAGTGAAGCTCCTTTCAGATTAAAAATACCTTGGAGGAAATGTACTTTCAGATGCCAAGTAAACTGCATCATGGCAGCCCCCACCCCCCACCCCTGCACCGAAATGGGAGAGACAGAAGTGGAAGGAGGTTCTTAAAGAGACAGAGGCCAATTTCAAGGCGTTTAGAGGAGGAAGTGATGAGAAGATAGGTTTATTTTCTATTTAAACATAAAAACAGCATTTTGATAACAATTAAAGGTGACATAGATACTTAATTATGGTATTTAAATGTATGCCTGAGAAACACATAATATTGCCCCTTTAATACATTGAAGCCTTCACTAAAGTAGGAACCAAACCACAACAAAGTGAGGTTATATAGTTGAGGAGAGGATGAGAGACTTAGTTTATCTGAAGAATAAGTTTCGTCTGGGGTAGTTTTCTGGTTGGTGATGAAGAAAAAATATTTGAGGGCTAGCTAAAAGTTGTCTCCAGAGTGTACTGTGAGCATCACTTGAGTTGCAGAGGCTGACAGTCTTATCGCTTGAATGGTGAACATGTTCAGAACATTGGTGAAAATATATACTCTAATAATTCCTAAACTGAAGTGTGGCTGATGTGAGTATGAAACWGGCATAGGTGGGTGACTGCATGGCACCCACCTACATCTGTTTTATAGGTTTGAAAAGAAATAATGGTACGCCACCGTTTTGTGAACTGTGCACACCAAAAGAAACTGCACATCAACATGACTCACAGGTCACTTGGTCATTCAGAATTCAGTGAAACTTCAGCTCATATTTTCTCACAATAGCTAAGTCTTCAAAAGTCACAGTCATTGAGACACAATATCTTTAAGACCTGTAGAGCAAGAGTGTCTAATCCTGGTTTTCGAGAACCACTGTCCTGCTTGCTTTACTTGCTTCCACCCACCTGATTCGGTCATTGAATGGCCTCCAAGTTTTGCAGAAGCATGTTAATTTTCCATTCATTCAAATCAGGAGTGTTGAAGCAGATACAGTAAACCTCTAATACCCCTGTACATGCGTAACAGTATGACCAAAAAACTAAATCAGTCCATCATAAAATATATATTTTATTTCTACTTCATTGAGTTCCATTTGTTTGATGATTTCTGCATCATCTCTGCTGTTCTTCAGGAGATGCCTATTTCTTCAAGGACAGCTTCTATTGGATTCTTAAGAATGGAGGACTAAACCAGGAGTATGTTGCCCCAAAGTCTGCTGGGGTGGACTGGCTCAGATGTCCAGCTCCTCCACCGTCGCCCAATACACCGAGTCCCCGGAACCCGAAGGGGTGCTCCTGTCACTTTAGCGGGTCATCTCCATCGCTACGAAGCAACTTTCTGATCCTGATCTSTCTTTTGATGATGAGTCTATTTTAATTAATTATTTAACAGAAATTATTCATAGTTTTATAAGCAGCCATGTCGGTGTGTCATCCCTGCCTTCACAGGACTGTATTAAAGACTCTCAGAACATNTGTCATCCCTGCCTTCACAGGACTGTATTAAAGACTCTCAGAACATCACACAACTTTAGATCTCTGATAGTGTCCAGTTTCGAACAGTGTTCTGTTTTATAACAGCCCATCATGCTGTGAATACTCTGTCGTTTTGGAACCTTTTGTTGGCCAACAAGAATAGCAGCTTTTGACATCTTATCTCCCCCTCATAGAGTTTCACATGCGTGTGTTTTGTTTTTCACAAGTATTCAGCAGCTAAAATCTCATTGGCAGAAAATGAAATTTAACACCTTAGTACAGCCAGTGGGAAGTTTCTCAAGCATAATAAGATCTAAAATAAAACAAGTTCTTCATCTTTGTGTAGTTTAAATAATCATTATCAGCTCAGGTATTTCATTTCTTATTCAGAAAGTAATTTGTGTGGTTAAACAGTTCCAGTACACATAAAATATTTGGTTAAATATTAGCATTTTATATGAAAGGCTGACAAAGATACCAATTTTATTGTTGTGCTATTTTTATATTTTGAACCATGAGAAGGGCATTTTATGTAATAGAAATAAAACATTTTATTATTTGTTTTACTCTGCTGCTGTATATTGCTGTCAAAGACCGTAAAGAAACTGAATGACTATTGGCAGGTTAAAATGTGTTGTGTCATTTTGATAGGAATCATTGTCATTTTAAATGTGCTTTTACGTGAGAATTTTTCTCCAATTAAAAAACAGTGTTAAGTATTATAACAGATGGGCTTGTTCTGTTAGATTTCCATTCTGATTTGTGTGACTGTTTACATTTCAGAATTCTGTGTGTTATATCTGAGTTTAGATTTCAGCTATTTTGTCTGATTGCAAAATTTAATCTAATTGAAAGTTACATCTTCCTTAATCCAGCTTTTTTAAACTTTGCATTTTTTTAATCAAATCTAATATATTGAGTTGGATTGTACTGAAGTAACTATGATAAAACTGAACTGTGCTGAACTTAAAGGATATGTCTGGTCATATTTGGAGTAATTTTTCTTCAAATACGAAGTTTTAAAACAGTGGTTAACACCTTGTCAGCTGTGACATCAGTCATAGAGCTTGGCTAATAAACATCTACACAGTTGCACAACACTGTTTACTTTGTAGCCGTCTTTTCAGTGAACATCGCCTGTTTTATGATGTAAATGTGTGTGTTCTGTGCATAGATGTTTAAGGTGTTCTTTCACACCATGCCATTTTTGAAAAAAGTTGGTTTCAAGCCCAAAAATATACAAGTCCTCATTTGGCACCCATTAGCCTGGAATGGATTAAGGCACCAGAGTATCTATAAAATATTCAAAAATTTAGTTCCAGCTTTGATGAACCAAGCTGAATTTGAAAAAAAATTTTTTAAACATCAGTAGCTTTTAGTTGCAACAATTTACTTGTCTGATGTCTGGTTCATGCATGATCTGTACTGTTAAAAAGTGAAAATGCTGATCATTCTGCACTGACAGTTGCGTGCCTTTGTGCCAAGATAGTTCAGTGCTGGTTTAGAGAAAACRCCTCTCCCGCAGGGCATGACACACTTATCTCAAAAAGACTGAAAACAGGTGTTTAGCTTGAAGGACCTTCTGTATCTTAGTCCAGCTCTTTTTTAATCTGATTTTTATACAAAAGACTTCTAACCTTGACAAATTTGCAGAAAAAAAAAAAAAGTCTTTTGAATATGCAGTATTTGTTCAGAAGCTCTTTTGTAGCAATTTAACAATGTGACTCAAATTTCAAAGGTGTTTGCTCTGATGCTTGAAATAACTAAGTCACAGATTGTTTGCTAATATTAATTTGTTAATCATCTACTTTATTTTGGAACAAAATAGTCCTCACTCACTTTGTCAAATATCCTGAAAGCTTCACAAACACAAGCCCTTAAAAGATCAAGTGTCTCTCCGTAACAGCAATCAAAGGATTATTTTAGTTTTTTATTTGACATAAAGAGTTCTTGCATAACTTCTCATATTAAAAACTTACTTTAAACACAACACRTCATTGAAGAAAAGATTTACATATTAGACTTGGGTACAGTTAAAGTGCATGTCAAATTACAATTTCAAAAGAAAAAAAGTGGTGTACAAGTGCTTTTACACACTAACCCTTCGTTACACAAACTGAAAAACAATTACATTAGAAAACTTAAGTTGTATGATATCAAATCCACCTCAGAATGAGACTGAGAACCATCAGACCCAGAGAGAAACTCGTGTTAGTGGAAGAGCTGGTGCTGGCTTTAGGCTGAGTTGAGACTGGCTGTGCTGATTGGATACTTCTGAACACGTTAACCATCAGAGGTGATGTGCTGTCATTGACATGCAGTGATGAGCTGAAGAGGTTTATCTGAGAGAGGGGATAGAGACAGTTAATATTGTGACAAAAAACCCTGAAACTCCCACTGCATCCTCACTCACCAAATCTTTGCTGACTTTAATGGTATCCTTGAACACAGTCCAAACTACAGCCTCATAACAGCCAGGGGTGGTCAAAGAACCGAGGTAGCGGTAGTAATTGGAGCGATTCACACCAACCAGGAGATCATCCAGTGAAATACCAGCTGCTGCCAGTGATACCGATTGTCCTGAGGATAGAAACAACAGCTGAGTAAACTGAAACTTCAAATTAAAAGCTTTAGTAATATTTTAAATGGTAAATGGACTGTACATACATAGTGCTTTTCTATCCATCCAGGGCACTCAAAGCGCTTCACACTACAATCTGTGCCCTCATTTACCCATTGACACACTATTAGGTCTCCACAAAGCCAACACAATCATCTATGCAGACTAATCAGTGCCAATCACATTAATACACTGATGGGACACAGACATTAGGGGTGAAGTGTCTTGCCCAAGGACACAACTGGACAGCTGGACGGGGAATCCAACCGTTGACCTTCCGGTTCCAGGGCAACTCCCCTAACGACTGCCACAGCCACCCCAAGCCTTACCAGCATGTGAGATGTTGGACAAATAGTTGGTCAAGATTTTCCAGCTAGCAGGCTGGCCACTGGTATCATTCAGCTCCTTTTATAAAAAAGGAAATAACAGCATAAGTCTATGCTTTAAGAGTTACATGGAACTTTGAATGAAAATGACATAATTCCTCACCTCTATCAGGAAACCAAGTGCAGACAGTCCTTCAGAATCTTTCACAGCAAGAGTTATGTTCTGGTTATAAGATGACTTGCTGTTCACAATATGCAGCTGGTGAGAGAAAAAAAGCCCAACATATAACAACTTTTACTGAGATAAATACAAAAATATTTCCTTACACGAAGTAAACTATAAATACCTCCATGGGGTAAGGCTTTCCATCCACAGTATGTTCAGAACCAGGGACAGAGGATCCATTTCCCCAGTGCAGGTGGAACTGCAGACTGTCATAAGCCTCTGACAGACCCCCTCCAGAAATCCTAACACCATGGTTCAAAGTCACTTTGACTGAAAAAAAAATCATTTGAAAATAAAACAGTAATTGAAAAAAGTTGAATAGAGAAAACATCAATTTGCAGGGAGGGGAATGTGAGCCCACCTGTCCTCCCCGTGTTCAACATTGTGTTCATGGCACTGGTGTTGCTGTAGCCCTGGAAGGTGAAGTCAGTCAGGCTGGCGTTGGCTGTGGCAGAGGCTGACACAATGTTGATGGGAGACTGGCGGCTGCCGTTGCAATAAAGAGCGATGGATGTCCAGCGAGACTCATCTGCAGACAGAACAGAGACACAAGGTGAGAGGWGTTGAAGTGAGAGGGAAAATAAAAGTTGTGATGAAAAAGGATGAGTCTACTTACTGCAGCTTTTGTCATGGTAACACCAGGCTGAAATAAGAGGAAAATTAGTTTTATTCCCCCAAAGCACAACGTTACTTTATTATGGTTTCAGTAATAAAAAAAAAATGTACCATAGGCTGATTGTACACTAGGCACAAAAATGCACAGAACCACTGCAACTACTGCACACAGGATCATCTGGAACAAACAAACATCTCTCAAATTACATGCAACAACAAAAAAATAATAATAAAAGAATAAGGACAATTGCTGTTTAAAATGTCTCTGGTGCATCTGAATAATTAGATCCCAAACACCATTTTGCCTTCTTTACGAGACAGGTTTCTACAGATTTTTTTTTTTACCTTCATGCTCAGGTTTCTCCTCTGTCAGACTAGCTGCAGGTTTCACCCTACTCCTTTTATACAAGCTCAGCCCTTTCTGCAGGAATTTACAGGGGCTGAACTCTTTATTTTTCCTATTCTGAAGGAAAAGTGAAAAGAACACCGTCTGGTTTCATCAACAATGTCAGAGAAAAAGAAAGAAAAAATTTGTTTTACACATTACCAATAGAATGGAAAAGAACTTTCCTAGTAATAAACTAGCTTAATCGGATACGTTTGTTGGCAAAATCTTTAAATTGAGTTCAGGTAATATTTAGGACAAGGGAAAAAAATTAAAAGACATGAATGCAGCTTATGTTGGGTCAATAAAGTTTGTTCAAAATGTTTGAAACTGAAAAAAGATTAAAACAAAAATGTGATTGGTTTGAGTTATACATGTCTTGTCCGTACTTTACACGGATTTCCCTCATTTTGAAGGTAAATGAATGTACAGAGCAATCTCAGATTTTTTTTTAAATTTTGCAGATTTTTTTCAAAATCCGTTTCAAATGTATTTAACATGACGGAGCATGTAGGATGTTAAATCATTAACCATCTTCCAAACAGCTCTGCCCCTAGAAATAAGTTCACCCGTCCTCATTTCCACCTGCTTTGTGCTTCAGGTGCCGTCATCTCTGCTGCCGACAGTCTTGCTTGCACACGCCCACTCCCCGTGTGATTAATAAGAATTTTTTGCAAAAATTACTGAGGCTAATTAAACAGGTAAACATGTATGCAGAGTGACTATGCAGGCCACAAAGCATGTTGGATAATTTTGCATGGTTTTGTGTTCATTTGTAAATGTTACAATGTTCTGGTTGTCAAAATTGTTAGGAGTTGATGTTCTGGTTGAGTTCCGTCTGATTACTGTGTTGGAGTTTGACTGTAAAAATTGCACCATGAGTGAAAGAGGCTTCCTGGCAGTGTAAGGTGGAGGTATTTTCCATTAAGGGGTGTGTTCAAAAGAAAACAAAGTCTGACTTTGGAGAAACTTGATCCTGTTATGCTTTCTACAAGCAACAGTTGCTAAATTGGTGTCAGAAGTTTTATGATAACAAAGATGGAAGCTCTTCTTCACAGATCAGACAGAAACAGGGATTGAGCTCAGCACAGCATTGAAAGCCAGCTGCAGAGGGAGCAGCCATCAGCCAGATGGCAGGAGTGATTCCCGACCTGCTGACCGTCGAAGAAAGCATCAGCCTGTACTACAACTTTCAACACCATGCCCTGCTTCAGAAATAGAAGCTAGTAGCCTGAGTGTAGCTACTTTGGCTAATAACCAAAATTATGCCACTGTTACATTCCCCTTGGCTATCTAGAAGCTGGGGGACACAGCAAATAAAAGAAACCGGGCAATGAAGGAACATAACTCAGGAGAATCAAAATAAATAATGAGTTATTCAGAGAAAATAGGATAACCTGTAATGGAAGAAATAACCTTACAGGAAAAAATGGGAGAATTATCATCATTAATTTGAATATTGGGAGTGAAGTTACTAACCCACAACTCCCATTAACAAAAAGGTTTCCTGGATCCACAGGGTCAAAGGCTCATGTGGCTCAACCACTAACTGAAGCAGACAAAACTCTGCACACCAAACATACCAACCCCTGTCAAACACCAAAGGGTCACAACACTCACCCTACAGGATGGGGAACCAGCACAGCAGAACCTCAGGTACCTGCAGCAGCCCACCAGTACTCCACAAAACACCAGCAGCTCACAAGCTGCCCCAAATGGCCATAGGCATCAAGCACAGCTTCACACCAGGCCTTATACTCTGCTCATCAGAGGGCAGAGTGAAACCACCTGCACCTGCTCAAGCTGCACAAGCTCAGCAGGACCAAAATTAAAGGGGAGAAACATACATGCAGACACTACTGCATGTAACACCCCTCTCCATAAAATCCAAACTCCTGTTTGGTACACAAAAAACACCACCACCTCTGCCAAATGGTCAACCATAAACATAGGAAAAAAACATCTGTCACCACATTTTCTGAGCCTTAAAAAATAATATACCATCAGCTTTAGCAGTCAGCAGGCATGGTGAACTCCATGGACTGTGACTGGGTACTGCATTTTCTAGCAGAAATGCTACCTCCCTTTTCATTTGTTATCGTTTCTTGTAAGAGCAGTGATTAGTATGCTGTTTCACTGGGATTGCAGCACCAACATCAATGTCATGTTGAATCATACCAGCTGTAGGTGGGGTGTCTGCAAACAAAGAGGGGAAACTATGAAGCAGGGCACATATGTCGTCCTGCTGGGTTGGGGTAGATGTAAAAGATGGGCTGTAACATCAGCAAGAACCTCAGAGTTCCCCAACCTTCCGGAGTGCTCCTCAGGAGGCCAAACCAACTCATCTTCTGATGTAAATTCAGCACCAGGAACAGAGGATGAGGCTAACATAGGAGCAACAGACACAGGGTCACTTTGTTGCTTTTTCACCATTTTGGCTTTCGTATCATAATTGGATTGGATAGGACATGTTAATGTGGCATAATCTGGTCTTTCGTCTGCGGTCAGGGGTAACAGTGATGTAGCTAACATCTGACACTTTGCTCTGAACAAGATAGGGGCCAGAAAAACTAAGAGCAAAGCCAGAACCAGCTACCGGTAATAATGCCAGCACTTGGTCACTAGAATGGAAATGTCGTTGAACTGCAGGCTTATCAGAGTTCACCTTCATTCTGCTCTGTGCTGCAGAAAGAGCCTCACGACTCACAGGTAAAGAAGTTTCAGTGGCAGAAAACACTTTCTCTCTACTAGCTTCATTTTCCTCATCTGGCCACACTTCGCCCTTAGCTGTAACTGAGCTAAACAGTGAGTCAATTTCTTGGTGCTTTTTAAGTGCTTGGGCTCTAGTCACAACACTAACTGGGAATACATCCGGAAATGTATTAGCTAGCACTTCTGGCTCTGAGACAGACACAGGAGTAGTCACCACTTCCACCCTCGGGTAAACTTTTCTTCCCGCTATGCCGTTTCCCATTATAAACTGCACACTATCAATAGGAAAACATGGACGCACAACAACTGGAAAAACTCCTGAAACTAATGGGGTTTTTATATGAATATGGTGAAGAGGGGCAAGCAAATAACTCATCCCAACACCTCTCACGATGGTACCTGCATTACAAGCAGACTTCTTGTTAAATGGTAGCACGCTTGCCAAGACTGAGAACCGCCAGTATCTCTCAGCACCTTTACTGGTAGCTGATCTTCAGTTTGACCTGTAAGAGACACCAAACAACCAACTTCTGGCTGTAGTGTTGGGTCTTGGTCACTTTTGCTCCTACATCTATAGCCAGCATGTTTTCTTTGCACTGATCATGCTTCACTCACCTGGCTGTTGAATTTTACAGAGCCAGAAGGACGTGCAGCTAGCCAGGTGGATTGAAGTGCTACAGGACTACAACTTTGAAGTGATGCATCAGGCTGGGCACCTGATGCACCAAAAGAACAGCAAGGCGCACTGCAGTTACTCCTATTCCAGCAGCTTCAAGAGTAAATACTCTGGCTGGTGCTCATTATAACAAAGCTGTGGCTCAATATTTTTTAAACTAACTACAAAGTTGTTGTTTCTCATCATCTTTAATATTCCCCCAGTAATAAATCTGCTTCTTGGTTAGATCCTRCTCACTGATGTTACCAGCTCATTATCATTGTCTGAGCATGGAACCACAGGTTGCTTTTTTACAAGTGGGTCTGCCGGGCTCGGTCCCAGCTCTGATACAAACTCGTGGCTCAGCGGGGCAACAGAGGTGGGCTTATTTTACTCGCCGTTCTGCCTCCATGCTTTTTCTGAATGCTCGGWGGAGGACAGAAMACGCATCAGTCCYGGAGCTGTCTTATGAATGAGGCTCTAATTTGTTGAAGCGGCTGTGGTGGAGTGGTYAGGGGAGTCATCCTGTARCCGGAAGGTCGCTGGTTCGATTCCTCATCCCAGCCRTCTCAGTCGTTGTGTCCTTGGGCAAGACACTTCCCCCGCCTTGCCTACTGATGGTGGTCAGAGGGTCTGGTGGCACCGGTGCRTGGCAGCCTCGCTTCTGTCAGTGTTCCCCGGGCAGCTGTGGCTACAATGTAGTTTACCATCATCAGTGTGCGAATGGGTGAATGTCTGTAAGTGTAAAGCATTTTGGGGTCCGGTGGAACTTGATAAAGTGCTTTATAACTTCAGTCCACTTACCATTTAACAGTCGAGGCAACTGTCATTCTTCTGATCTGCAGTAAGTTTAAAACTTACCAACATTTAATCTCACCAAGATCTTAACATCTCTCTAAATTGACAAGATTTATAGGTTTTAACCTGGGACACTTATCAAGTAATTAATAGGAAGAAAAGAAAAATGTTTCCTTTGAACAAAATATATTTCAATTTTATAAGTTTTAAACAATATATATATATGGTCCGATCTGGACCAAATTTTGTATGCACCATCAGGGAGGCCTGCACAACATGTTGGTGCAGTAGTTTGATGAGATCACTTCAGCTCCACCCACTTTGCAAATGATTGGCTCTATATCACACAGACATGAKCCGATCTGCRCACAATTTTTTGTGCATCATTAGGGAAACTAGCTACGGATTAATGTGTTAGTTTGATGAGATTAGCCCCATCCACTTAGCACACAGTTGGCACTAAATCACACATCTGATCTGAACCAAATTTTGTGTGCATCATAAGGGAGAACACATTTGTGTAGTAGTCTGACAAAATCACTTTAGACCCCCCTCAATCTGTCCGTTCACCTTATGAGATTATCTAAATAATAAAGACTATTCCAAGAAAACTGMTAACAGTTGGTCACTACTGAATGGTGACGAGGGACATCAGCSATGGTTGGCGTTGCATTCTGTCTTGCCACCCTTGTTACTCCGCCACTCACTACAGTTGCTTTGCAATCATCCTTCATCAGAGACTGAGATGTCATCAACCAGGAAAGCCAACCTGCCTTTCTTTTTACATCCTCTTGTTTGAACTTTATATATTTATCCACAGATTTGATGTGATCAGTGAAATGTTGGACTTCCTGGGATTTATTTTTAACCCAGGTGTCATCAACATACCTGAGTCAATGGCTCCGTGGTATCCCTGAAAAGCACATCAAAGCTCTCTTTTCCAAAACTGGGGAGCCTATAACACACCCATGCTCCTTCATATAATGTTGCCCCCAACATGTGAAGTATGTTGACTCCAGGCACATTTTCAGGAGTTGGCCCAGTTGCTTTGCGGAAAGGGTTGTTCTCCTACTGAGAGTGGTGTCTGATTTTAACCTTTCACAGACCACATCCMCCATCTCATCAACAGGAATGCACGTAAAGAGTGATGTTACATCAAAACCATTGTTTCGTCCATCTCCATGAYGACATCCCTCACCTTAAAAGTCCATGGTGTTCTGTATGAGATGTTCTGGTCTGCCAATTAAAGAACCAAGTGCTGATGCCAGGTGTTTGGAAACATTGTAAGTGACGGTGTTAATTATGCTTACAATGGCTCTTACCGGTACACCCTGTTTGTGAATATTGGGTAAACCATGCAGACTAGGAGTGGCCTCACCAGGGTACAATCTGTGACTGTACCCAGGTGAGGCCACTCCTAATGCCTCTGTGTCCAATTGTCCCCCTCTTACAATGCTGTTATTGCAAGTATGACTCAGCCCCCTGTGATGATGATCTGGGCCCTAAAAATAGTGTATATGATCCTCTATGATCAATGGGTGATGATCAGGGCACTAACAATCTATTGTTAGGCTGAGGGTCTACTTTTGCATGTGAACAAACAGTGCTGATTGTCATTGTTAAACCTGTTTGGCCACCATGTGGTGGCGCTGCTTTTAAGGCTGACTTTACCTGAAAATCTTCAGACTAAAGAACTCTTGGATGAGAGATGAAACATTAGAGAAACCCATCCAGATGACCAACTTACATTTTCTTTAACATAGTTTTTGTGTAAGTTGTAAGAGTTATGAGTGTTGTTTTAAACAAACTCCAAAAACATTTGAGTGAGAGTTCAAGATGAGGAAATCATAAATCTTTAGGGGAGGGAAGGGGAGAGGAGGGGATGGAAGGAAGGAAGGAAGGAAGGGGAGGGGAGGGGAGGGTAGAGAAGCCATGTCTGTGATCGGAAGATTGCCGGCTCAACCCCCCGAACCAACCAGCCCCACCCTGGGCCCCCGAGTAAGGCCCCCAACCCCCTGGGTGCCGAAACCGGCAGCCCACCGCCCCACATGTTCATATGTGTGATGGGTTAAATGCAGAGACTCAATTTCTCCTTGTGGGACAATAAGGGTCAATATTTTTTATTATTATTTTAAAATATTAATAAAAAAAAACAATATGCTGTTGGTCAAACATTTACCAAGGAAAATCCAGGGGAAAAAACTACAGGAGAGCTAAATGGTACAACAGACTGAGGAGTGAGTACTTGTGAGAAAAACTGGGATGATTACTGAGCTGGTACAGGTGAGTYATTATCAAAAGATGATGCAAGAAAGAGCAGGAACTGAGAGAACAATTGGCCGTAACACAAGTAAGAAAACCAGGTAACTGAAAAATATTAAATACACCAAATGAATAAATAACAAACAAAACTGACTTATAATCTTAACACTTTGTCTCAAGAGGCATTTTTGGGTCATAATAAGAACATGACTGTGTGTTTATTAAAAACAATATAGTAAATGGACTGAACTTATAGAGCACTTTATCAAGTCCCTCCAGACCCTAAAGTGCTTTATACTTACAGAAATTCACTAATTCACTCTCACATTCACACACTGATGATGGTAAGCTACATTATAGCCACAGCTGCCCTGGGGCGCACTGACAGAGGCGAGGCTGTCATACACAGACGCCACCAGACCCTCTGACCACCATCAGTAGGCAAGGCAGGTGAAGTGTCTTGCCCAAGGACACAACGACTGAGAGGGCTGGACGGGGGATCGAGTCAACGTCCTTCCGGTTCCAGGATGACTCTCCTAAACACTTCACTACAGCCGCCCCCAATACAGTAAGTTAATACAACAGAAATATGAAGTGTTCATTTTATCTGCAGGTGAACTGCATTTTGACAACAAGGACTATTTCTGGCTCATAATCAGAACATGACTTTGTGTTTATTATGAACAATATTAGTTAAGGAAATCTGGTTTCACAACAGAAATCTGAAATGTTCATTTTATCTGCAGGTGAAATGCTGTTTGCTGACGGCATGTTTACAGTCAGATCACTGACTTTCTCTTATGGCACCACTCCAACAAGCTGCAGGCTTTCTTATAAAATCTTGAACTTTTTGTTGTTTTTGGTTAATTGGATCTTAAAAAATAAAGATCAAAGTGTTGCACATATTTAAGAAATAAAGAACAATGTCCCTATGGCAGATATAATGGTATCAGTCAGTATCAGTTTTGCAGATTAAAGATCTGCGTGATGATAAAAAATGTTTCATGTCATTTTGTTTTAGAGCAACACACAGAAAAAAGTAACAAATCCCTCAGTGTACATAATTTAAAGCAGTTGGAAACTGGATATAGCAGAAAAGAGTTTGTTCATTATTACCTCCGCCAAGGGCGAGGTAATGTTTTCAGTCACCTATGTCTGTCTGTCTGTCGGTCTGTCTGCCGTTCTGTCGTTCTGTCTGTGGACAACATTACTCAAAAACTTGTGGACGGATTGTCATGACATTTTTACTACKTGTGGGTACTAGGCCAAGGAACAAACCACTAAATTTTGGTGATGTTCCGGATCACCAGGCGGATACAGGAATTTTTTTCTTTTAACACTCTGAGATCAGCAAACCTGTTCAAAAAACAGTGAGCTGGATTGGACAGCACGGACTAAACTTTATAAAAGTAATGTTAAAGCCAGATTTAATGGTGAATAATTTTTGCCATAACATACGCATTTTTACACATTTGGTGCGCATTTGGAGAACGTTTTGTGACCAGGAAGTGCGTGACTGCACCATGAAACCTATTTATCCCATTTCCCCAAACACACCACATTTCCAAAACAAACAAGCAAAACAGTTTCTCGTAACTGAATTCATAAAGTGCTTCCTGGCTCCTCCTTCTCAAACTTTGAGGCCCGGCCACAAACATAGTCAAACCATTACAAACTCACACAAGGGGATAAAACAGAAGTTTTTTACATGGTGAAATGTGACTGATGAAAACTTAGGAGCTTAACCCAACACCTGTTTCACGACGAATAATGCCGGGTGACGCATCTGACTTTTTTTTCCACATTGGACTCCACCGGGAAGAAATCCCATGCAAACTGCCTGCTTAAATGTTCTCTACGTCAGAACTTATTCAGCAAATGTGTTTCCATCTCTGCTTTTGTGCATTAACTCTATTACAGGATGGGGGAAATTGGACTTGGCGGAGGTTTGCACTCTCCAAGTGCTTCTATCCATCCATCCATCCATTTTCTGTACACGCTTCTTCCTTTTCAGGGTTGCGTGGGTCACTGGTGCCCATATCCAGCAGTCACAGTGCGAGGGGCGGGGTCCAAGTGCTTCTAGTTTACATTATATTTGGTATCTAGTTTTGTAAAAAGATGCCCTTTTTTGTTAAATTAGTCACCATCTTCAGAGTTTATCACCTATAATCACAAGATTATCTCGACTTCCACACACGTGTCATTTAACATCATTTGCATCTTGATTATTGTGACTGAAAGCTTTGACGTGGTTACTGGATGAGTCAGCACCTGACGGGTAACAAAGAACCAAATGACATTCAGGATGAGGGTGTAGATCGGTGACAGGTGATTTTTAATAACCTCTGAACGCTGAATGACCTTACAAAAACTCTGTTTTAGACAGCATTGTGGATAATGTGCAGCACAACTTATACCAGTCAGAAATATTTAGRGAAAAAGGTAGAGATTGACAATTTAAACAATGCAAATTCTTATTTAATTCACTCACTTCATCCAAATATCCTGAATTCTTCATGGACCCAAGCTCTTAAATGATCAAAAGTTTTTCTGTAAGTTCAATAAAAGTATTGCTTTTTTAAGTCTGACATAAAATATTCTTGCATAACTCAAGTCAAATTAAAAATTAACTTTAAACAGGACAARTTGTTGAAAAAATATTTATGTATTAGACTCAGGAGTACTATTATTGTGCGTGTCATAAGTTACAATGTCAAAAAGAAAAAAAAAAGAAAAAACAAATGAGTGTACATTTGAGCACAGTGCTTCTTACACTTTAACCCTTCATTACACAAACTGAAAGACAATCAGCTTCAGTGTTCAGTTTAACTGCAGCAGGGTCTTCAGCGTAAAACAGTCATACAAAATAATGTACATTTGTTTTCTCAGGCATCTGGAGAAAGGTTTGCTCTTGCCATTTTGAGAGAAATGTTTAATGAATGTTTTGCTTATGTCCCAAAATTTAAAGCAATAATTTATGTAAAAAAATAGACAAAACTACATGATTTTAATTGGAAAACTATGTTGCGTGCCATCAAATCCACCTCAGAATGAGACTGAGAACCATCAGACCCAGAGAGAAACTCGTGTTAGTGGAAGAGCTGGTGCTGGCTTTAGGCTGCGTTGAGACTGGCTGTGCTGATTGGATACTTCTGAACACGTTAACCATCAGAGGTGATGTGCTGTCATTGACATGCAGTGATGAGCTGAAGAGGTTTATCTGAGAGAGGGGATAGAGACAATTAATATCATGACAAAAATAAAAMCCCTGAACCTCCCACTGCATCCTCACTCACCAAATCTTTGCTGACTTTAATGGTATCCTTGAACACAGTCCAAACTACAGCCTCATTACAGGTTGGGGTGGTCAAAGAACCGAGGTAGCGGTAGTAATTGGAGCGATTCACACCAACCAGGAGATCATCCAGTGAAATACCAGCTGCTGCCAGTGATACAGATTGTCCTGAGGATAGAAACAACACCTGAGGAGACTGAAACTTCAAATGAAAAGATTTAGTAATATTTAGTCATCTTACCAGCATGTGAGATGTTGGACAAATAGTTGGTCAAGATCTTCCAGCTAGCAGGCTGGCCACTGGTATCATTCAGCTCCTTTTATAAAAAAGGAAATAACAGCATAAGTCTATGCTTTAAGAGTTACATAGAACTTTGAATGAAAATGACAATTCCTCACCTCTATCAGGAAACCAAGTGCAGACAGTCCTTCAGAATCTTTCACAGCAAGAGTTGTGTTCTGGTTATAGGATGATTTGCTGTTCACAATATGCAGCTACGAAGGAAAAAACAAGATAAATACTATGTWCTATGAAAAATACAAAAATATTTCCTCACATGAAGTAAACTATAWATACCTCCATGGGGTAACGCTTCCCATCCACAGTATGTTCAGAACCAGGGACAGAGGATCCATTTCCCCAGTGCAGGTGGAACTGCAAGCTGTCATAAGCCTCTGACAGACCCCCTCCAGAAATCCTAACACCATGGTTCAAAGTCACTTTGACTGAAAAAAATCATTTGAAAAAAAAAGGCAATTAACAAAAAGTTGCATCATGAAGAAAATATGCTCAATTTGCAGGRAGAGGAATGTGACCCCACCTGTGTCCCCAGTGTTCAACATTGCATTCATGGCACTGGTGTTGCTGTAGCCCTGGAAGGTGAAGTCAATCAGGCTGGCGTTGGCTGTGGCAGAGGCTGACACAATGTTGATGGGAGACTGGCGGCTGCCGTTGCAATAAAGAGGAGCGATGGATGTCCAGCGAGACTCATCTGCAGACAGAACAGAGACACAAGGTGAGAGGTGTTGAAGTGAGGGAAAATAATAAAAGTTGTGATGAACAGGATGAGTCTACTTACTGCAGGTTGGGTCATGGTAACACCAGGCTGAAAGAACAGGAGGACAATTAGTGTTTTATTCCCCTGAGGTACAAAGTTACTTTATTATGGTTTCAATAATGAAAAAAAATGTACCAATGGAGTTTGATTCACAGTGAGCACCGGGCACAAAAATGCTCAGAACCACTGCAACAACTGCAAACAGGATCATCTTGAACAAACAAACAAACCTTTTAATGT